GGAAGCAATAGAAACTAATACATACATTATGGCTTTCTAACTACCAAGACGAGAGTAAATGTGTTACTACCTTATAAGAAACAAACCTCTCCATTATCTAAGATTTGCTGTTTCCTAGCAGCAGATTTAGAATAAACACAGTTGCTTTGCTGTGTCCTGGTTACTACCGTGCCGGCTTGACTGAGAGCTCTGTCTACTCTGCCAAGGCAAACCATGAGCTAAGACAATTATCTACAAATATTTCAGGAAGTAAATTTGCAGCCTGAATTGTCCCCCAGACGACCTCAATTCTCTGCTTAGCATGATAGCCCACACTTCTACTGAAGTTTCCCTGGTAAAGCCAGGTAAAGAGAATGCTCACAGCTTCGCCAATTCCCACTTAGGGAAAGAACACCCAGCGTGTGTTGGGAGAGGGTGGAGGAGTACGGACTATACACTGCAATGCAGTGAGAGGAGAACTGCTATGGTTGATACTTTTGTTCAATAACATTCAGCAAATATTTACTGACTGCTTATCATAAACTGAACTCAGAAAAGTTGACCTGCTCTCTACAGAGCCATTCATTCACTCAGAAAATATTTACTGAGCTTCGACATGTGCCAGAGTCACTGGGCACAGGCAGTCAGGCCCCTTCAGGAACTCTTGTCTTAGAGCTTTCTCAGGACTACCATAAAACATATAGTGTGACTCTCTTCCCATGTGGCCATGCTTCTCAATTATCACCCACTTACCAGGGTTTGTTATTCTAAAGATTTCTGCAAAATTTTCCATTCTGAGCAGGCCTGATTCACAGAAAAGCCTTAGTAATTTCCCAAATTCACTTGCTCCCCACTTCCACCCTCTCTGAACCTCCCTGCAAGTCCCAGCATCACTTGACTCAAGTGCTAATGGTTCTGACCACTCCAGCCTCCTCCTCCCCCAGCACTTCTTTCTGCTCAGTTCTTAAAGTGCTGATTAGGAGAACTTTGAAGAATTTTGAAGATGTCCCCAGTTCCAGTACAAACTAGGGGCTTTCCCTAAAGCTTTCTTATCTTCTTTCATTACTACTCCCTTTAAGAGCTCCCAGACTCCTAAAATTTCAATAATCACCTCTGGAGATCTCATCAAAATTCAATAATGCAGACTTTTGTTGACTCATTCTAAATTACACCCTCCTAGCTGGCCCCCTCATTCCAGTCTCTTCCTACTCTAATAATTTCCTTTGCACACCTTGCCACACATATCTTCCTAAACACTTATTAAATGCTAACTCTGAGCGAGGCACCGGTCAAAAACCAAACGCTACATTAATAGTGTTAGTTAAGGGCACATCCTTTGAAGAGGGGCAGCCACTTACTAGAAAAAGTTACTTAACCTTTCTGCATCTTGGTTTCCTCGTTTGAAAAATGGGAATAATAAATAAAAGCATGTAACTCTCAGGGCTATTGAGAGACTTAAATGAAATAATGCATGGAAAGCACTTACAGTGTCCGGCACACGGCAAGCACCAATAAAAGCATACATAAACAACAATATCAAAGGGAGATGTCAGATTAGCAATAGAGATGAACAGGTATATTCCATAAGTAAGGGGTGGGAGAACTAACAGAACTTGGTGGGTGTCATGAGCAGAGAAGACGAGTGATGAATTCTGATGGTGATATGAAGCTTGAAGGTTAAAATGGGATATTTTGGAGAGGGGAGGAAAGATTTTCCAGCTGGGAACACCTGGGCAAAGACAGGACAGCACAGAAGGGAGTGCTTTTGTGTAATTGAGCAATGGCATCTGTTGCCCTGTGCTGATTCTGACAAGGCCGTGAGCTCCTTAAGGAGAGGCACACTGGCGTTGGCTATGGAAGAATCATTCATTTACTTATGTAACTAAGCACCTATATTATACCTAGCACTGTGGTAGATGAAAATACTTTGTGCCTGGTCCCTGCCCTCATGAGGCTTCTATTTGAAAATAAACATAAAGGCAAAACAAGAACACTTCAGATAAATTATATGTGCTATTAAGAAAACAAAACAGGATCATATGAAGGGGGTGACTTCAGTTAAAGGTCAAGGAAAGGCACTCTTAGGAGATGACACTTGAGTAATAAGAAGACTAGGTAGAAAAATGTCCTAGGCAGAGGTAACAACACGAACAAAGGTCCTGAAGCATAAAGGTGCTTGCCATACTGAAGAAACAGAAAGCCAGTGTTAGGGGTGCATGGTGAGAAGGTGGAAGAGAGGCAGTCAGGGAGGGTGGTCAAGGCCTTGATCACTTTAAAGCTTGGTAGGCCACGATAAGGAGTTTGGATTTTATTCTAAAATGCACTGGGAAGCCATTAAAAGGTTTCAAGATAGGATATGACATAATCTGATTTGTGTTTTTAAAAGCTCCCTCTGGCTGCCATGTTTAAAGTAGAATGGCAAGAGAAAAGGCAGAGGGAATCATTAGAAGGCTAGTGCAATAGTCCAAAGCAGAGAAAACAACACAGACTTATGATATTTAGATGTGAGGTCTGGAATCTCTCTGTTTACATAAGTTATACAATCTCCTCATTTTGTAAGGTCTGTCTCCCTTCCACACAGCCTACTTGGCACATAGGAGGCTTAACTGGTAATTTTCAGTTGGCTGACTGCGTCTCCCACAAATCAGCCCCATTTACTTTCCTCCTTCCACCCTCATTTCTTCTCCTGCCTATATACACGTTCCCTTATGTCCAATACCTGACTCAGCCTTCACAAGATCCTACTGTTCCCACTCCATTCCTTTTCTTCTCATCCCACCACCCATGGAAGTTTCATGAACTAGATGTAAAGGAGACAATTATTTTCTATCCTATCCCAGAAGCACTCTGGAATTATCAATTTCACAGAATACTAATAGAAGCCTAAGGGTTATTATGACCTTGACAATATAACCTGTACACATTCTGCAATTAAGGACACTGTCTCCTCACATTCGTTCCAGCCTGTTCTCCCCACTGCAGCCAGAGAAATCTTTTTAATAGGAAAATCTGGTCATGATCTCATTGGCTCCCTTTCTTTCTCTAGCTCATTCTCTCTCTCTCTCTCTCTCTCTCTCTCTCTCCTTTTGCTTCCCACTTAAATCCTTTTAGTGGCTTCCCCTTGTTCCTCAGAGAAATACCAACTTCCTCAGCATGGGTTACAAAGGCCCAGAGTACATCTCACACCATTCCCCTCATTTGCTCTCTGTGGCTCTAGCCACACTGGCCCTCTTTCGGGTCTTGTAGCCAGATGTGCCTCCTTCTGCCACAGAACCTTTGCATATGGTGTTCTCTTTGTCTCCAAGGCCCTTTGAGCTCCCTCTTCCCTCAAGTGACACATTCTTTAGATTTTTGTCCATATTTTGTCTGTCTTTCAAAGTACTTATCACAGTTTATAATACGTTTACTTGTGTGGTAATCCCCCCCTCCCCAACACACACACACACACACACACACGATAGGAAGCACCAGAGGGCAAGGACATTGCCTATTTCTGTTCATCACTGTATTCCAAATATAGAGTGAATACACTTAGTAGGCCTTAACAGGATTAGATAAGAAATTTTTTTTCCACAAACTTGGAGTAATTTCCCTGCCTCCTTACAGCAACCATCCCTGGTGTCAATGTGGCACTTGTTTCCAAGACCCATCATCCTTCCCAAGAAGGTCCATCATTTTCTTCACTGTAGCCCACTTCAGACTTGACCCTCCTTCAATCAGTCCCTTTTCCAAGAGCAGTAACTATACCACCTGATTGCACAGGAGGGGGGGAGGGGGGCTTAGAGAATTCAGCGAGGTGCCACTCACATACTGGTTGTTACACAGTAAACATCATTTCACAAAGCCCTTCCCCAAATAGCACCTTGTTTTGTCCTCAAACCAACCCTACCAGGTAAGGGGAGCAGCTGTTACCATCCCCGTTTTCCTAGATGGGGGGAACTGAGGTTAAAAGAGGCAAGTGACTTACTCAAGGTCGCCAAGTCTGTGTGAGGTAGATGTAGACGTGAACCTACGGACTCTGACACCGAGTCCAATGCTTTTCCTTGCACTCGCCACCCCAGCATTTGGGTTACCAGTCACTTCAACCCGGTTTCCTCACTCCCTTAAATAAACACTGCTCCTGACTCCTCAGCACTTCCCCAGCCCACTCCTGCTTCCCCACCCACAGCTAGTCGGGTGTCTGCGCAGCGGGGTGGTCGGAGTCAGAAAGCTGGACGCACTACAAGGGTCTGGTCGCAACCTCCAGTCTTTCCAGCTTTTCCTGAAACCCCCAGAAACAACACAAAGACGGCCCCTCGCTACCCTTTCTCCCACGTTCCAGTTCCACGCGGCGAGGCCCGAAGCCGGCCTCTCCCCCCACAGGGCGGACCCGGGAGAACC